TAAATTTATGKTTTTTTTTCAATTTCTTTATCAGTGTTTTTAAATTTTCAATATATAGTTCTTTTACCTCTTTGGATAAATTTATACCTAAGTAGTTTGGGTTATTATTGCTATTATAAATAGAATTCTTTTCCTAATTTTATTTTGGATAGATGATTACTAGTATGTAAAAATTAAACTAATTTTTGTATGCTGATATTGTATCCTAGAACTTTACAAAATTCATTTATCTGTTTTAAGCAAGTTGTGCACATGTATGTAATCTTCAGATTTTTCTTTGTTAGCATGTAGAGACAAATTTCATTCCTTCCTTTTCTTTTAGAATGCCTTTTCTTTCTTTTTCTTGTCTAATTACACTGGCAGAACTTTTGTTAGCATCTTCTTGCAAAGAAGTGGCAAGATTGAGTATTCTTGTCTTGATCCCTGTCTTAGAGGAAAAGCTCTAGTTTTCGGCACTGGGAATTATATTAGCTACAGGTTTATCCTATCTTTATTGTGTTGAGATGCATTCCTTGCATATTTTAAGAGTTTTTATCATATGTACAATTTTGAGATTCTCTCGAAAATCTAAAGATCTGTGGTCTTGTTTCACAATAGCATAAACTTTTTGAAGCCATTTTTCTTATCCGTGATACTACTTTATTTTCATGAACATAGCCCCTAAAGCTGATTTTACAAGCTGGTATCTTAGGAAGTTGTTTTAGAGCATAAATTGAGTGATATTTAAAAGTTTTCTTAGGTCAACCATAGTATTTAACCTGACTTGAAAGTTAATCATTGATCATAATCCTTTAATTTCAAAAAAATACCCTGAGATACCTAATATCTTAATCTTTATGAATTATATAGTATTTTTGCCTCTAGAAGAAATGGGATGTTGTAAGGTAATAAAATAAGAAGGAAAAAGTAATAACAAGGGTCATGGTAAAGACAATATCAAGAGAAAAAAAGAAATGCTAAAAGGAAAGTTTGAATAGAAGCCAAGAGTAAGTATCCTTACTTGTATCTGAGGTTGCTTAGCACTATTGTTGGGTAGTTCTTTTAGTTTGGATTTATTGGTAACCATAGTCATCTATCTAGGTTTGCTGGGAAAAAAAATAAGAACCTCTCTTGTGGAGTGGGGAAAGAATAGAACAGTACTTAGGACCCAAAGCTATGCTGAAGTTGGGTGACCGGTTTAGAAAAAATGTTGAAAAGAATCCATACAATTTGAGAGGTTAAGATATGCATCAGGTAGATGTAGCCAGTCCAGCCAGTGGCTCAAATTAAGTCTAGAATGAACTGATCTGGATAGCTCAGCTTCCTACCCTAGTGTTACTCAACTGTAGTGGTTTCCAACAGGGACTCCAGAGCCTGAGTCAAACCCCAGGTTCATCAAATACTAACTGTATAATCTTGGGCAAGTTATTTAGCCTTTCCATGTCTTAGTTTTAACATCTTAAAGTAAAATATAAATAGTACTCTACTTCATGTGTTTATAGTGAAGAGTATATATATATATATATATATATATATATATATATAGCCAAGATTATTATATTTCTCTTTTTTTTCTTTACATTTCAGGTCAAATATTTCTGTGTGCAATATAGATGTTTGGGGGTTATTGCTGAAATACTAGAAATAAATTTATTTATAAAATATTTCCTAGTACTTGATCTAATCTCAAATTAATAACTTATAGATGACTTATATAAAAGTCCTCACCCCAAATAAAGAAGCCGAATTATGATGAAATATATGCCAATTGATGCTTTGAAAGTCAGACTTGGATTTTCATCCTTGTTCTCCTACTTATGATCCATGGATCTTGAGAAATTTGTTTAACTTCTCTGAGCTTCAGTTTCCTCCTAGGTAAACTGGAGATGGAGGAAGTAGCATAAAATAAATAATATGATCCCTTCCTAAGGGATGTTTCATATTATCTAGAAAGTTTGGATTATCACAGCTGGAGTGTGTGTGCTACTGGCACCTAGTGGGTGGAGGCTAGAGATGCTGCTAAACATGTTGCAATGCTCAGGACTGCCCCATGTCCCCCAATCCAAGAATTTTGTGGTTCAGAGTATTGTAAGTGGGAGAGGTTGAGAACTGTGTTCTAAACTATGCCTTCTTCATTTTCAATTCTTGCTGGTATATATTTTTCCTTGGTAGTACACCTCAGTGGTTTCCTGTAAGTGCTTCACATTAAATGCAAGTGTATGTACCTGTATAAAAATAATAGTAATGGTTAAAAATAAGTAATAATAGCTATCATTTAGGGAGCACTTGCCATCAGCCAAACTTTGAATTAAGATATTATAACTTATGAACTGTTACATTAAATATAAGGTTTTTTGGAAATCTTTAGAATGAATCATATTTTTTCAATGAATAAGCATAGTAACATTTTATTTAATACGAGCTTGAGTATCAGGACAATTAGTATGTCTTCTAATTCCTGACTAATGAATTTGCTAAATTTCCATATGTATTAATTTCTGTGAATTCTACCTTATAACAATCTCTCAATTTCCTCTAGGTTGTTCTTTTTCTACTGCCATTACTCTACTTTGGGCCACCACCAGCTTTCATAAATTAGAGTAACACTTTCCTTTTTTGTCTCTTGCCATTGTAGCTACTATTCTGTCTTCCCTACCTTCTACCCTGCCATTTTTTCACTTTAGTGAAATTGAGCAATACCACTCTTCTGCACCAAATATTTTAATAGCCCTCAAAGGTCCTTACGATCTTTGTTTCTTCTCATTCTACTTCCTCTCACCCACCTCACATTAACAAAGAGTGGAATCTTAATATTCCAGTGGTCATGATCCAAGGATGTCAATGGAAGAACTACAATTTTATAATCAAGATGAAACAGTCACATTTGTTAGTGTTCTGTGCTAATGAGCAATGCAAGAGAAATTAGTCTCAACTAACTAGCAATGTTCCATTCATGTGTGGTCAGCAGATGAACAGTCAAGGAGAGAAAAAAGGTGATGATTTCCACTGGTGTTCTTTTCCTACGTTGATGTCAAGTGTGGTGATGATTAGAGCCAGGGACAGGTGAAAGGAAGTAGGAAAAGCTGAACGGGCCTAGAAGCCTCCTGGGATTCTTCCCCTCCTGCTGTGAACAGTTTCCCTGCCTTGGAGAAACACAGGTCCTCTCATGCCTCACTGAAAACTGTGGTGAAATCATTGGTGGTTCTTCGGAATGAGTGCTGACATAATTTTGTGGTGTTGAGTCTGGAAGTGATGAGATGAATGGTACACAAACCTTTTTATAGCATCACAATTTGTGCATGTTACCAATATAAAAAGAAATGAAAACTCACCAAAGAAACTAGTTCTCAAACTTTGGTTACAACCCAAAATGGTTTCTCTGAAATATGAGAAGGATATGAATAAAATTTCTAATAAATTCTCACTGTCACATGGGTTGACATCTATTTAACTCAATCTACTCCTCAAATGATAAAACAATTCCATTGAATAATAATAGGTCTATAGCTTTAGAAAACAAATTTATGGTCAAGATCATATATATATATATACACTTAATACTTGATTAATAACTATTGCATGAGAAGCTTCTCCCTGTTAGATCCTTTTTTAAGTAGCAAAGATATAATACTTAACTTACCTGCTGCTCTTAGAATATACCTGCCTTCCTCTAAGACTATAGATGAGACATGTCTCATCTAATTCAAACAAAATGAGGAAAATTTTATAAAGATTATAGAGTCAATGTTTTTAAATGGGGTTCTTCTTGCAGGCTAACAGAGGATTTCTGAAATACATTTTAGCATTGAATATCTTCTATCATGTATATAGTACTTCCTGGTTCATTTGGGGAATTTTCAAGAGAGTACTTATTTCAAAAGAGCATTTATTTCTAACTCATACACACTGAATTTTAAATCAAATCTGAAAAGTAAGAATGCAACTTCACCATATGGTTTGGAGAGCACGCAGTGGAAAATATAAGCTACTGGGGAAATATGATTCCTTAAGGGAGACACAAAACATTAGTGATTGAGTGATTAATTGTACAAATCAAATAAATGTTGAAGTGGTCAAGAAAATTGAGGTTCATGAACACAGCGTTTGTCAGAAGAGGCCTTGTGAGAAACGATGAGCTGCAAAGTAACAGAACAGGATTACGTTGTGCCTTGTCCTCTAGTTGTGACCAGTGGCTGGCTAAGTTGTTAGTGTCAGACCTGATGGGCAGAGTTGCCTCCTGTGTCCATCCAGATTACACAGTTCTCAGCTAAACTGAGAGATCTGCATACCAGAAAGATATTGAGACTGGGAAGAAATGATGGTTTGCAGAGTAGGGCAAAGAGGGTTCAGAATTGGACCATTATTCAAGAGCTACAACTCAAAGTGTTGGAGCAGGTACAAATTTAGAGAAGAACAAATGTGGGTCAAAATAGAAAAAAAGTCAAGCAAGGAGGCCAAAGGTTGGTTTTAGAAAATCTCTGAAGTTGTGAAAATGTACTGTGACAACTCACTCATGTAGGGTTTCCTATGTCTTGCTGGGCTGGTGCTGATCCTTAAAAATAATCAGAAATGTTCCAGGAACAAGGACATGCCTGCAAAGGGAAATTGTGCCTCCTACAGATGTAGAAATGCCAGCAGCGTTATCTGAAGAGAGAATACTTGGCTTATAATAATAATAGATGGTGAATTAATGGATGCATCAAGCCAAATCTCATGAAACTACATGGAGCAGAAGTAAGAGAAACATTGCCAGAGCAAAAGGATGAGGCCAGATTACAGAGGTTGATGAAGACAGGCAATGGAATTTGATCAAGTGTRGAAAGAGAAGGTGATTTTAAGTTAAGTTAAAATTATACTTTCCATCACTTGGTCCTCARTGGCAATCCAGATAAAATTCACAACCCAGTCCAAAAGGCCACAGATAATTAATAATTGCTGCAAAGGCTGCATTTCTATTGTCTTATTATGAATACATATCTACCATTATTATAGAAAAATCTATTATTTTCTTTTATTTTCAGCTCCATGGGATAGCATTTTTAACTAGAAACTACTGTCTGACCGAACTATATCTAAACAATAATGCAATATTTGAGATAGTAGGTAAGTCTTAAATTTTCTTTGATTTAATAGGTTTTCAATTAAGTAATAATTTTCAACTATGATAACCATTAATGATGTGCAAAGATTTGTTTTAATAATTCTCTTAAAAAGATGTGACAGTCTATTTTTAAATGTTCTTATTACATTTCAAGAAATGTGCTGTTAGATTGCTTTTCTAACTTAATATTGTCATGTGTCTTATTTGATCTTTTAAAAAAATCTCTTTTTAACATAGGAAACTTGCCACTCTACTGCACAGTTGGACACAAACTAAATATTGTGGAAACAAATTTTAACAATATTTGAGAGCACTAATAAATATTAAAATATTATAGTCTTAAAAGTTTTTACTGGATATGATTTTTACCAGCCATATTCCTGTTTCCACTCCAAGTTAATTTTATAAGTGCAACAATCTCTAAGCTAACAAAGTCAAGACAGAGATAAAAGTATATGAGGTGCCATGATCATGAAATATGAAGAAGTACCGAACAAAACACTTCTCTTTAATACCATGAATGATGGAATCAAAGTGCCATAAATTTTTGATACTTACCATAATTTCATGTACCATTAAGAAAGAAATGTTGTCAATTAAACATGATGGGACTATGATACACACTTAACTCACTTGCATTTATGTCTAAAAATGTGGGAAAATGTATAATTTAGGAAAAATAAAAATGATACCGATATGTGGTTTTTCTATTGTATAAAAGTACTTTTCAATTTGGAAGAAGAAATTGAATTGGATGAGTAGTTATTCCCTTGATTGGCATTATAAATCTAAGTAACATTCATGCACATGCATCCACACACACCCTACAAAAACAAAGGGAAGAAAGCCAATTACCTGTCCAAATTCAAACAAGCAAAAATCACTGTTACAGAAAACCCAGTAAAGCAGTAGTAGTGGAAAGATATTTCTACATCACAATTCAAATAACTATTTGAATTCATTTGCTTTGCTTGTAGGTTTAACAATGATTTACAAAATCATTAATAGGCATTCCTCTTTTAGCAGCTATAATATCTTTGGTTTAGTTAGCATGTCTAATTAGCCATCTTGAATGTTTGTTTTCATTTATCAATCTAAAAATAATTAATAAATTTGAAAATGCTGCAAATCTTGTTCATTTTTTTTAGGCCTGCACTATCTGCCTTCATTGCATATCCTCCTGCTGCATCACAATGAGTTAACAAAAATTGATGACACAGTGAAGGAATTAAAGGGAATGCTGAACCTGAAGACCCTAAGTAACAATTTGTACTTTTATATGGTCACAAATGAAATTGGCAATAGCCCAAGACATTTTTCCACTTTTGAAGTTTAAAATTCCTTAGAGGAGGATTGCTTCTGACTAAAATACTTAGATGACTATATTTTCTTCTTTTTCAAGGCATGCTTTTGAAAGAGAAACAGGTAGAAAAGAATTATCTATGTAAAAAAATACACCATGTCAAAAATGGCAAAAATAACAAAAGATGATTTACATGTTTAAATCTGTTTTTGGTTTTATCTCAAAAGTAAGTTTTAACATATATGATTCTCTTGACATGAGATATTCTACACAGACACATCTCTAAATACAGTAATACTGAGAAGTAACTGTTTTTAAATAATTAGTGTTCACTTCGGGCTGGGGAACTGAGAGATCTGGACGATGATAGCTAAGGAGTAAGGAGTGCGTTGTGGGGGGTCTCTTTGGGGTTAATAAAATATTCTAAATTGCCTAAAGTGATAAGTTGCACCAGTCATGGAATCTACTGAAAATGACTGAATAGTATATTTTAAATAGATTAATTGTGTTGTAGGTGAAGTATATGCATAAAGTAATAAAGAGCAAAGAAAAAGAGTAAGCTTTTAAGTTTTCAATTAAGTGATGAGCAAACATCATTTACATTTACTGAATCACATCCAATAAGGAATTGGCCTCAATAATGAAGAAGTCTGTCTGGAAATAGATTCAAAATATGAATCATAAGCAGTTCCTACTCTCAATACACTTACGTTCTTGAGGGTTAATAGAAATGTATACAACTGAAATATAGGACAAGAGAGTCTAAGGGCCCACAGTAAAGACCCTCAGGTCAACGAGTAGGTTTTCAGACTTTAGAATTTGAAGATCTCTTCACATGTTATGCTTCATTTGTTATGAAATAGATGTTTTCTTCTATTGTTTCCTATACATTTTTTGAGAATTGCCTGTGTCAGTGTTTTGAATATGTGTAAACTAGTGTTGATGGAGAAGGTTCTGCTCAGGTCAACACATAGTTAGGAAAGTCTCCGTGTATTTTCATTCTATCAGTAACGTCAGCTGTACTGAGGAGAAATGATTCATGTGCTTACAGGTAGATTCTTCAAATCCAAATATTAAAATCACTAAATCACACCAAGCTCATGGTGATTCCAGGATTGTTTTGGAAACATAAGGCCACCTACTGTTGGGAGTTTTTCACAACCTTCTGAGATTCTGTGAGAGACTTGGATTTGCCAATGGCCTGCATATTTATTTTGCCCTTCTATGCTGAACAAATGCTTCTATGATTAAAAGACTAGTTATACTAGATCAGGAACTCTTACCTATCATCGTTTTTCTATAAAAATGGGCTAACAGTTACCTCTCAGGTTTGCTTCAAACATTGAGATAACTCTGTAAAACACTTCCTGCCATTAATGTTATTTTGAAGCAACAACAAAAGTAAAAATTGTTTTATTGTATATTATATAAACAATATAATAAATGAAGACGTCTCATGTAGTCTAGAAATTCTGCTAAGTTGGAATTAAACTCAGTATAATAAAACTAATATTTTAAATAAGAATCATTAGAATAGCATATTTGAGTCTTACCTGTTGATAAAATTCTTTTCTTAAAAATTTTTTTTAGATGTTGATGGACCTTTATTTTAGATGTTGATGGACCTTTATTTTATTCATTTATTTATATGTGGTGCTGAAAATTGAACCCAGTGCCTCACACATGCTAGGCAAGTGCTCTATCCCTGAGCCACAACCCCAACCCAATAAAATGCCTTTTTATATTCTTATTTAAACCTTTACAGCAATCTTATGATATAATTAAAATTATTCTCTCTTCAATGATCAAAGTGCAAGGTTCTGAGATTTAGCCAGAGTACCAAGGAATATTGAAGTTTAATTCATGCCTGGTTTCACTTATCATTTATACATTCATTCATTCAATAAATATYCATAATTTATTCACTTTCAATAAGTATTTATGACACATTCACTATATGACACTATACTAGATTATACAGCACAAAGTTGTACAAAAGACCCAGTCTGGACCTTGATGGGACTTACAGTTTTATAACTCATAGCCTAAAGATGTCTTAGACAGTTGAAGGGGTTTGATGCTACACTATTTGAACATATAATTTGCTACTTGTAAAAACTCAATAATTTAAGCAAACTTATGGTATAAATCAACATTCATAGAGTAGTAAGCAAGGTTGGCCCAAGAGCAGTAAACAGAGTCAGGCTGTAAATCAAGGTGCCAGGACCAGAACTAAGTGAACCCTGAAAATCTAGCCCATGTCCTATTTGTCAAGAGTGTGTGTGAGCACAGAATTGTCAGGATGGGGACATGAGTGGGGATGAAATGCCCTAATCATTTTTTTAAGACCAGCCAAGTAATATACTATCCATATCATTACTTGTCATGACAGTTAAAGGGACTTCTACTTAAAATTGTAGTGATATGACTCAAGTTATAACTACAGTTGTTTCAATTGAGAAACTTGTCATGGAGTCATTTTTGTTTGAAGTGGATAAAATGCTATGTCTAATTACAAAAAAAAAAAACATTTTCTGAAAATTTTTGGTAGTGAATACTAACATTTTGATCCCATATCCCATTTTGGTTCAAGTTTTAATACAGGGAAAAAATGTCTGCATTCACAGAACTAACATTATTTGTTCAGTTATGTCCTCAGATTAAGTTTCTATGAGCCTCATTTGCAATCAGAGATTAGATTCAGCTCATTAAATAAAATGAGAAAACCGTGTATTTTCCAATGTTATTGTAATTTTTGTCTTTTCAAGTTGTAAAACCATATAAAAATCTAAAGTGTTATTATTATTCCACTTCAATTACAAGTTCTTCAGAGGGTGAGAAAATAGCCTGGAGGGTAAACCTCTAATCCACTTCAGCATTGCACCCTCCCCTGGCATGTGAGGAGAACTGCCAAGTGATTGCCCAGGAGACGCAGGGCTGGGAGCTTCAGGGAGGCCTGAAACCAGCACAGAGTGTGAGGTCCTGGTAACTGGAATTCCTGTCTTCCGGGCAAAACAGGGGCCCCACCTCTTCTCTCCAGGAGGTCTACCTTTCCACACCCTCCTCTCCCAGTTCCATTTTCCTCTTCCCTTCCCTCCTCCAAACTGTAAATCAGAATTTGCTTGTGCCAAAGACCCACTTTATAGATGATGATTATCATTTGCCTTCAGTCTTCCTGCCCTTTTCCTGAGCATTAGAAAAAACACTACCAGCAAAACAACATTTAAACCATTTCTTCTCTATCTATGCCTTTGTTCTACTCATTTCTCTAAAGTTTTCTCTGTGTTTATTAAGTTCATTGTTGGAAAGTACCCTTAGACTCCTACCTTTCATAATTGTTAGGACATACTTCCTGGGTCACTCCAGGAGTGACCACTGGGAAGAAGGGGTTGCTCTTTTAAGAGAAGGTCTCCATGTTTCCAGAGATACTGCTCTTATATATTCTCTAACCTTGCTGACAGCAGTGATCCCCATCCTCTGCTGATGACAAAAAGCTAGGGTGAAGACAGATACTGGGAGGTATGGTATGACTATCATCTCCAAGGACTCTTTATTTGAGCCTCTCTACCTGTTATGCTCATTCAAAGTGGACTTCACAAAACAATCCACCAAGTGAAAAGAACTAACTGGGTCTTTCACAGCTGTTTACCTTGAAGAGAATATTCTGATCTCTCCCCTTTCTTCATCTCCTGCTTTATCACAGTTTGCCTTTTAAAATCAAAGATGATTTCCATATTCAGTGAAAGCATGTGTAGTGTGGTGGCCCACAGATTTAAGTTAAAATTAGATAGCAATCAAGTTGCTAACCCATGGATGTGACCTTGCCCCCAGAACCTCAAAATCTAGGTGTCTGATGGGTGACAGCTGAATTCCCTTCCACAGACTGTAGGTAATGCATAAGCTTTTAAACCTCTCTGTATCATTTCCTCCCCATCTATTAAAAAGTATTTTAATAATTACATCAATTTTCTCCAAAGGCACCTTAAGAACATTTGGATTCATTTAAATGATAGGTTTGTTAAATTCTGTTTTCGAAGTTTAAAAAATTCACTGAAACCAATTATTTAGATCGCTGAATCTTCTTATTTTTCTGTTTCATTAAGAAGCAGCTTTACGCATGAGTCATGTAACTCCAGCTTGTGCAGTAAGGTGGTAGAGACATTTTGATATATTATTGGGAAAATGTAAATTGCTTAGACTCTGAATCCCAAATTAAGATAAGCAAGACAGCGCTGGCGCCACGGAGGTGTACTCTATAAGTAGCCTAGAGGGAAGGTGGATTAAATGGTATTAACCTATTGAAAGTGAAAGTGTAAGCAGTTTTGCTTCATAGTTTCTAAAGGAATGTGCCCATACATCACAGAAGGCTTTCAGAACATTCAGACACAGGAAACTGACTTCATATCTTGGAAACTTAATTTATGGTAATTTTAGTAGCATCCATCCAAAACTCATAAATCCAAAATGTTAAATGTTTAATAGTATAAAAGGGAGAAAAAGAGTTGAAAATGCTTCCTTCTAAAATTGAAGAGCCAGGAAAAAGTAAAGGATAATAAAGATGAAATGCCTCTCAAATTATTTAGCTCAATTTATTTTTTTAAGTTATGTGAGCAGAGGCTGCGCAAGGAGCTCAATTTTCTGACTTCCTGTCACTTACATTTTACTTTAAGATGAGATGAATAGTGAACCACAACATGCACAAGAGTTTTTAGTATCCAGACACCTTGTTAATAAGTAATCTAAACAGCTCTGGAGGCTGAGACAGGAGGATGGCAAGTTCAAAGCCAGCCTCAGGAAGGGTGAGGTGCTAAGCAACTCAATGAGACCCTGTCTCTAAATCAAAAATACAAAATAGGGCTGGGGATGTGGCTCAGTGGTGGAGTGCTCCTGAGTTCAATCCCTGGAAAACTCCCCCACCCCCAAAAAGAGTAAAGGTCATTGGAAGATATTGGTACATTTTCCATTAGCATCTTGTGCAGAGGCAGACCTGGCTTCCAGCTGCTACAATGTAACACAGGGTAATGAGGTGTCAGATGTGATTCCCCAAGACAGCAACCACAAGGCAGACTTCTGCACTAAAACATTTGTGACTTTTTCTTCCTCCTAAATTCTCATTAAAAACAAATGTGCTTTGCTTTTATATCCTTGAAGGGTGTCCTTTTCTTTACTTTCTCTGGCTCCAACTACAATGCATGATCCCTGTGGATTGCTTTAAAAATCTGTCCTTATTAGTGGTTTAATATACATCCCTTCTATTCCCTATCCTGTAGTTACAATTATGTGTTCCCACTTTAAATTTCTTTTAAGAATAAAATTCACGTCATTTTTGTCATTTAAGACATCTTGAAAAATTTATTTCATTTTTCTTCTCATTTCTTTCAGTACATACAGATTTTCTTTCTTTTTAATTTCTTTGTTGCTCCTGTCTGTGTTTTCTTTTCTGCCTTTCCTCACAAATAACTTTGTTGGTTATGCACCAGGTGTCTTCTATTGCCTGCTTTATGTCCCTATAAAGCTCATGTTTTCCACCGGGAACAGCTATATATAAGGATTTTATTAGCCAGAGAAATTTGTGTTTATACAACAAATATCAGGATGTTTTATTACCTACAGAAAATACGTCCAGATTTTTCTTTTTCTTTTTTTCAGTTTCTAACTACTTTGCTATCTTTTAATCAGGCCCCAACCAATCTTCTTTATGTTAATCAGTTTACTCTGGGTTTTGAATACTTATATTATCATGCCTTTATTAAGCTTCGTTATATTTTATGAATCATCTACAGCAGTATTCTTAAATTTAACATGGACATTGAGGGAGCCCCCGTTAGTGATGTATCTGTGCAACAGCTGGAGCTCTTTCTGCTACTGCCATCTAGTGGTTCCCCTCACTGTATGTATTTTCCGGAAATATTTTCTAGCGTTGCATGGAAGCAGAATTTAAAAAGCTAAAGATGCCCAACTTGAAATTATAAATGCTTTATTGCACAGTGTATTGAAATAATCTTGTTTAATATTATCCAGTGATAAATAGGCGAGATTTTTTACTTGGAAACAAAACCCTTCTAGGTGGAGATTTTTAAAAATGCATCTACATGTTGATTCCTAAAAGAATGTGATGGCAGAAGAGCCAGGAACTCTTCTGCACCCATGTGCTTCCCTCCTTCAGCCCCTGCATTGCAGAATCAGGTTCATTACGTATCAGAACACCTGCACACGAGGCTCTCAGAGCCCCTGTGTCTGGCCAAAGGTATACAAGATGCAACATCCACATCTGCTGGCCTCTGCTCCAACTAAGATCCAAAGCTGCTACTAGCATTTACATATTCTGAGCAATGCATAATGATGTAAAGTGGAGGGAGAAATATCTATTATAACATTGCACTATATCTCTGCCCATCCTCACACTGGCCTATGGTGACCTTTGAGACTTAGCAGAAGAGTCCCAAGTGATATTTTAGTCAAAAGCAGTCTCAAGACTCTCATGGAGCTGATACCTAGTTTGTCCTTTAGGAATTTCCTTATGGACATTTAAATTTTTCCTAATCTGTTGCAGATTTGAGTCAATAAAATGTCCCCAGCACCTAGCACATTTCCTAGTACATGGTAGTACCCAGTAATTATTTATTGAGTGAATGAATATAACAGATAGGAAAATCAAGTGCTGCTCTAAATGAAAGAGGGCTTAATGAGGCCACTGGCTTGATATGTATCCTTATGTTGTACATGAATGCTGCAATTTTTCATGTTTTATAAAATGACATACAAAGCTCATTTTGAAATCTGATGTCTTATTTCGGACTCTTCCATTGTAGGTCTATACCAAAACCCTTTGTGCCAATATAACCTATATCGTTTATATATAATCTACCACCTTCCAGGAGTGGAGCTGCTTGATCGAAATCGTAAGGATAACTCTCTTTTGTAAAGAAATATTTGAAACTCAGCCTTACTACTCAATGGTTGAAAAATACAGAATACCTTTGAATGTGTTTTTGTAACAGAATACCATTGGATAATTTTCTTTATAAATGAAAGTTTTTTAATTATTTATTTTTGAAATGCTTGCTCTCTGAGATTCGCCCTAGTTTAGGAATTCATGTCTTTTCCACTCTATAGGAAGAGCCATCTAACTGAGCATGAGAAAGGTTCTCCTGGTTCTTCGTTTCATACTGACGAGGTGGATGCCAAATCATTTATGTTGGGCTCCTTAGTCTCCCTTCTCAGCAGTGAGGGAATGGCCAGGCATGGTGGTGTACACCTGTAATCCCAGCTGCTCAGGAGGCTGAGGCAAGAAGATGGCAAGTTCAAAGTCAGCCTCAGCAAAAGCGAGGCACTAAGCAATTCAGTGAGACCCTGTCTCTAAATAAAAAATACAAAATAGGGCTGGGGATATGGCTCAGTGGTTGAATGACCCTGAATTCAATCCCAGTCACCTAACTCTCCTCCCCCCAAAAATGAGGGAGTTGAATAGAACTCTGAAGACCTGAGTTCTAAAATTCATTTTCTTTGGAAATTCTGTAAGTTCATGTATATTAAAAATTAATATAATCAATGTTAACTTCTTTATAAATATATCTTCATGCATTATAGACAGACTAGAATGTTTGGTTTATATAAGCCACATACACACAATCCACATCACTGTACAACATATTACATATTTTGAAAACTATCTTACCCCCTTGTGCTATATTACCTACTTCCTTACCTGTCTACACATACAGATTTGAACATTTTTAATAATTTATTAGTAACTTCTATTTGTGAGGATTTACCAGGACTTCCTGGTTCTATCTCTGCTTTTGGATAGCCTTGAGGGAAGGAAGGGCGGCAACATGTGCTGTCAGTCATCCGATGGTGATGTGTCAGAAAGTCTGTATCGTGCAGTGGACTGCAGGATTGTGCTCCACCTTGTGACATGAGGGGCATGTATCAAGTGCTTGTAAGATTATGGAAGTACCCATGACAGCTACTTTACAAATCTATTTTGACAAGATGTTCCCACATAACATAGTTCACCTAAATGTTTTTGAAACTGTTCCTTTCTCTTTTGAATCACTCCATATCTATTTTTAATGCTGTGCAATAACATTGTTTTTGCATTTATCAGAGGTTACAGAAAAAGAAAGAAGATCAATGATTACTATTTTTAACCATAAAAAGGCTCATATCATTCAATCAATTGCATTTGGAGGAAAAGTAGATACCTCATGGAACCCAAAATTACCATTAAAGCAGAAACCTGTCCAGAGACTACCTTCAGGTAATTGGGGGAGGGGGGGGGTAAGAATGAAATTTAAATTCCTTAATTGTTGGATAACTTGATTATAATAATAATGGTAAGTAAAAATAAACTAAGTACCTACATGGTGAAATAATTTCTAGTTACTTGCTAACATTATATTTTTATAGTTTTATTAGCCTAATTAGAGTGAATATGATTTTCACCATCATTCGTACATATTAAATTAAATGAAGTAATGTGATAAAATGAGATAATACATTAAAGTCTCTTCTCCAGTATCTACCACAGCAGAAAATTATTATTACCACTAACACAAGACAAATTCATCATTTTTTGATGATATTAAAAAATATTAAGAGGAAATAAAGATCATTTGCAATTTTCCCTCCCAGAAATAAACACTATTAATATTTTGGCTATCTCACATATGAAGTTTTTATATATGCAACTATAACAAATATATCAGTGACATTTCATTAGTAGGAATTTCTTAGATGTAACTGAAATCCAAATAAATAGGGGTTTATTTTTCTCACATAGCAGAGTACAAAGATAGGAATGCAGAGTTAGTGTAAAGTTCTATAATATCATCAATGTTGAGGAATATATCTATCTTTTTTTTCTTAGTGTGCTTTATGATTATAAGGTGGTTGCTATACCATCATGCGTCACATCTTTATTCCAAGAAGGAAGAAACAGGAGATGAAAAATGGTGCAAAAATATAACCTTTTTCTTCATCATTTGGCATTTGCCAAATACACATTTTTATTTAAAAAGAACCAGATGGATTTTACAGAAACAAAAAGGAAAATATGAAACTAGAAAACAATTTTGAAGAAATTATGAAGAAAGTGACAGAGATGGAGATATAAATTAAATGTTGAGAAAAGGAGATATTTAAAAGAGAAAATCCAATGAAAGTTTAGTAATAATTCCTAAAGAAAAAAATCATAGAAATTCAGTAGATGGTAATATTTGAAGTGATAATGACTAAGAATTCTCCAAACATGATAAATTATAGGAATCCTTAGGTTTGGATGACAAAATAAATCCACACATAAAAGACACATAACCAAAATTTAAAAAAAAAAAAAACTGTTTACACCAAAGGTAAGGAAGTCAGAGAAAGAATGCAGATTTTCTACAAAAGAATGACATATTTACAATGAACTCCCCAACTGCAATTATGGAAGTCAGGAGACAGTGAATTAATTCCTTAAAATGCTGGGAGAAAGTAATGGCCAACAGAATCCACAAATCAATTAAATTCAACACTGAGCAAATGAGGGAGAAAGAGAGGGAGTTAGGGGAAGGAAGGAAGGAAGAGAAATGAGGGTCAAATGAAACTTTTTTTTTCTTAATCTTTTGCTGTAAAATTTTCTAAGTTGAAGGAATATTAAAATGAATGTCTATCTATGTCCAAGCTTATTCAACAATTATTAATATTTTGCCATATTCACCAGCCTCTAAATATGAGGCTTTGTTTGCCTCTTTATTCAAAGAACAGATCTCAGACCTGGGATGTAGCTCAGTGGAAGAGCACTTCATCCCCAGTGTGGCAAAAAAGAGGGAAGAAAGGACAGGCCTCCTCAGAAGCTCCTATTTACACTTATTGTTCATACCCAGCTAGAAAACATCAATATGCAGTGGAACCACTAAATGTTTCAGTAGTAGAATCTCAACACTTCGCCCTTAAATAATTTGGCCTGCAAGTTGGAAAATAAGGGCATCCCCCTACGTAACTATAATGCCACTATCAGGCATAAGAAAAATAACCAATTATTTAATATAGAATCAGTTTCCCCATTTTCCAAATTGTCCCAAGAAGCCTTTTGCAGCTGCTTTTTTCAAACCAGAATCCAGTCAAGATTCATAATTACCTTTGGTTGTGTGAGTCTTTACTCTAAATTTAGAATAGATTCGTCAATTTTTTTTCCCATGACCTAGAAATTATATTACAGAATGTGTCACTTTTGATGATTGCTTCCTTCGGATGTCCTTAAACTTGTTCCTTTAACCCTTATATTTCCCACAGACTGGAAGTGATGTCTGCAGGAGTCTTAATGGGTGCAACAGAGTAACATGTACAGCAGGGGTGGGCCTCTGGGTGTGGTCCCCAAATTACCATTATCAGCATCACTTAGGAACTTGTGATTCAAATTCTTGCCTAATTTACCAATTTGGAAACTCAAGCACTCCCCACCCCACACTGTGTTTTAAGTAGCTTTCCCAGTGATTCTGATGCCCATTCAAGTCAGACAACCTGGCATGGCAGGCGGCCAGCACCCTGCCAGGGTAGTTTCCTGCTCAGAAGATGTGAACCACTTGAGAAAAAAGAAAGTCTGAAATAATTAGTATAGAATAAGAGTCCGAGCCAGAAATTAGATTTAAAGGAAGTGGGAGCTGGAACTGAACAACCAAAAAATGGCTTTATTTCTTTTTGAAAGGAGAATACATCAAAGGCAGGGATAAGGTTTCAGCAGGAGGAGTCTTGCTTCTTGGTGTGGCAGAGGTATTGCAAACAGGTTGATTGGCATCTTGGCAAGCCATACCCATCTCCGAGAGGCTGTGTGGTTCCAGTGGGTCACCCCATCTCCAGTTCTGTGCTGAACTTAGAGCTAGGTAGGAAGTCGCATGTATTGGGCAGTCTCAAACCAGCAGGATTGCCGCCTGGAGTTCCCAGATACCAGACTTTCCTGTTTAGTGGCTTCCATGTCGTTTTTTAGTTCATGCACAAAAAATTCATGGCTGGCTTCTGGCACACAACCACCATTGCAAAGTTAAGAGGCCAAACCGTGGAATCAGAATTCCTGGGTTCACATACCTGCTCTGCTTGATCATGGCAAGATTTGTTTGGGACATAAATTTGCTTCAACTTTCTGAATTTTAAAACAAAGATTTTTATCTTCCGTTGACTGTTAGGATGCTTAATATGTAAAACATTTTAACATTGGATCTGACACCAAATGTATCAGAAGTTGACTGTTCTTAGTCACTTCCGTGGTTTTCTTTCGCTTCTTATGAGAAGTGATGGCCCAAACTGAATATTATTGAATGCAATGGGAGCAAGTTATGCTGTGGTGGGAAAGGAATCTATGAGAGACAAAATTCCCTCTTAAAACAAGATGATACACACTAGAACAGCAAACACAGGCTGCTCCAGTCTAGTTTCAGTGCTATAATTATCATAGGTATGAGAGGAGAACTGATCTGTTCCTTTGGTGCTGTACATTGTATTTATACAACCAGATTGCTAAAAAACGATGATCCTTTTTACTATTTTTCATTACCTCCAAATCAAAACCAGAGGAAAAAAGGATAGAGTATTTTATTGCATTTGAAACTTTTCCTTCTAAATTCATATTCTTAATTCATAGATATTTTGACACTAGGCATCTAAAAATTGGTAGTATGACTCTATCAATCTACTTATTCTCCAGAAAAATGACACTGCATCAGATCAACTAAAAAGCATTTTTAGCTCATGTGACTTATTTTAGCTTACTTTAGTGAGCTAAACATTTATAATGAAACTAATAAAGCACACTATGTAAGTTTTCAAAACTCATGGCTTACAGTTTTGTAGCTTTGAAATTTGTTTTGATATAAATTTTATCTTATTGTGGCATGCACATTTAGGGATCTATATTCTTTTCTTGCAAAGAAACCATGCTTGAAATTGTTTATGTTAATAACATATTTCCATTTTATTATCCTTAATCTTAAATTGAGAAAGAAACCAATTACATTCGAAACAGCTTGGGAAGCAAGGTCAATTTTAAGTTTTCTTCAAATCTCAGCCATCAATCCTTATCTGATGGGTATAGGTTTAAAGGCTTGTACCTATTTTCCATTAATGTTTTTGTGTCTTATTACATGATAAGCAATATTCTCAGAACCAAAACACTTTGTCCTTTTACATGTGGAAAATGAGACATTTGCTGATTTCCCTGCAACTACACAATTATGGAAAAACATTAAGTGATATCTATAGTAAAATATCAATACACTTTTAAAATATCTACTAATGACTCAAAAAGTGAGCCTGCTGGATTTCTACTATATTTGCTCTTCTCTCCAAACAAGATAAAGTTCCAGGTATAGAGACCAGGCTGAGTAGTATACTATGACAGAGCCTGGGCCTGAGTGCTAAGCTATCCTACTATTCAGCAAGAGACAGAGGAGTAAACCCAAAAGGAAAATCAGCCAGACTATTCCACAAATGGCAATTCACCACGGAGTTGGTCAATACAGACACAAGACAGAAGAGCATTCAGAGAAAACATAATTTAAGTGAGGAGCTAGGGAATCAAAAGCTCAGGAAGTCTAGTCTTGAAGAAAACTCTGACTCTGGGTAATGATGACACCAGGTTTACCCAGAAAAGTGAATGCCAGGTGTTACCTATGCCTGAAGTCTAAGATAGGTTCTTGAGGTCAAAGTGAGGCCTGGAGACTGGTTAGCACAGGAACTGTGCAATTGCAAGAGTTACGCAGTCAGAACTTGTGAAGACAAGTATCAGCAGTAGCAGAGCTACCACATTCCACAACTCTGGTGGGCACCATTTACGTAGGAAAGGATGACTGGGGTCCTCTGGAGTTCTGCCCTGTACAGGCCTGGGCCAAGAGATAAACTAGATGACTTTCTAAGGGAGATATTATGCACAAAAATAGATCCTAAAAAGATTAAATATCTAAAATGTAAGTAAAATTGAAGAGTACTAGAAGCAAATAACTAATAATTCTGAGAGATAAACACAGACTCACACCAAACCCAGAAGTCATAAAAGAGAAATGTTGACAGGTTTAACTACATAAAAATGAAAACTGAGACAGAAAGGGAACAAAATTAAACACAAATTTGGAAAAAGTATTTGCAACACATAACAGGCAAACGTTAATACTTATATTTCTAAAAGAATTTACAAGTCAATTTGAAGAATTCCAGTAGTAAGTGACTAAAAACATGGACAAGTTTTTAACAGAAAGAAATGTATATACTGCTCAACCTCACTAATGACCAAATTAATGTAAATCAAAACATATCTTTATCCAACAAGTTGGCAAAATCTTTAGACTATAAAAACAAAAGGAGAAAGAGCATACAATTCATATTATTGAGGAAGATACAAACTGATTGAACTTTCTTGGAAGACGACATAGCATTATCTATCAACATATAAAATGTGCAAACCATTTAACACAGCAATTGATTTGAAAATCTCCCCTACTAAATTTCCAATGCACATGAACAAAAATATATAAGCATGTCTAAGATTGATTATTGCAACATTTTTTGTAATACCAAGTATAGTAGAGACCACTAAATGGTCATTTATAGGGGAATACTAAACTATGGCACATTCATGTATTACAAACAATTCCACTATAGAATTATTCTATGAATATATTTGAGGTGTTTAAAAACATATTGCAGAGTAATATAATAAAATTTAAAAACATATTGCAGAGTAATAAAAAAATTTAAATTTTGCCAACAAATAAATCTGTGTATATGTGTATGTGTGAGTGTACACACAGGCTGGAAGTATACACAAAAAACTCAATAATACTTTTTGTTTTTTTCTTTCTTTTTTGGTGCTAAGGATTAAACCCAGAGCCTTGTACATGCTATATATGTCTACCATCGAGCTAGGGAATCCCAAAACCCAGTGCTTAACAGTGTTACTTCTTTTTTTTTTTTTTTTTGTACTGGGGGCTGAACCCAGGAGCACTCAACTATTGAGCCACATCCCCAGCCCATTTATATATTTTATTTAGAGAAAAGGTCTCCTTGTTAAATTGCTGAGGCTGGCTTTGAACCTGAGATCCTTCTGTTTTAGCCTCCAGAGCCGCTGGGATTACAGGTATGCATCACTACACCTGGCTAACTGTGTTACTTCTGATAAGAATTGGAAAGGTGGCTGGGCGCAATGGTGCATACCTGTAATCCCAGAGGCTCTGGAGGCCGAGATAGGAGGATTCCAGGTTCAAAGCCAGCCAGAAGCAAATTAACAAGGACTTAAGAAACTTATCGAGACCCTTGCTCTAAATAAAATATCTAAAAGGGCTGGGGATATGGCTCAATGATTCAATGCTCCTGGGTTCAATGCCATGCCCCCCCCCCAAAAAAAAGAATCAGAAAGGTAAAAGGGAGATTTTACTTTTTCCCCAGTGTTCCTTTTTGTTTATAATTTATATAAATTAAGATATATTTATTAATATTCATATTGTTTATAACTATTTATCTAATTATAGGAGATGTGTTTGCTCTTTGTAATTAGGGAGACCCTGCCATTTATAGCAATATGGACAAACCTGGAGGCATCAAGTGAAATAAGCCAGACACAGAAAAAAAAAATACTGCAGATTATCTCATCTATGAAATCTAAATGTTCAAACTCATAGAGCAGAGAAGAGTAGAATGATGGTTGCTAGGGACTAGGGAGAGGGAGAGATGGGGAGATGGTGGTCAAAGGGGGCAAAGTTTCAATTATGGACGATGACTAAATTCTGAAGATTGAATGTAAAGTGACTATTTACAGTATTATATATTTAAAATCTGCTAAGAGGGTAGATCTTAAATGCTCTCATCACCACCCACACACACCCTAGAAAAAGAAAATGGTAACTTCATGAAGTGATGGATGTTAATTAGCTTATTTTGTAATGTATAACAAAATATCTAGTTGTGCATCCTAAATGTTCCAATTCTTAAGTTTTTTTATTATACCACAATAACACTGGGAGGTGGGGAGAATATAGAAAGAGAAAAGAGACTGGGAGATAGGAAGGCACAGGCGACCTTGGCCAGCCATCATGAAGAGGAGCAGTGCCCTGAATCTCCCAAGGCAGCGGTTGTGCTCTCTGATGCTCATGGATTGGCAAGAGCTCACGTTGTGGTTTAGTGGCCCAACAGGTGCTGGTAAATTCTGCCTTTAGCCTGGCACTAGGCCTCCTGGAAAGGAATAAACAAAGCAAGGGCAGTCTGGAAGACATCCTAAGGATTCCTGGCTTTGAGGACTAGTCCTTGAGCTCTAAGCTGGAAAAGATAAGAGACTCTTGTGATCTAGGATTTGTTTATTCTCTTTCTTTGAAGTTAATACCAAAAACCTAAATAGGTAAAATGGCTCTAAATATTTCTCCTCATTTGGACTCTTCCTCCATTTACAGGTGCATGTGCCTGTCAAAAGAAAAAGGATCTACTTTGGCAATGAGACTCAAAATCTTAATTATAAAAATTCCCACTTGGATTCCATTACTAACTAAAATGATGAAGTGTTTTATTCTCAGGATTTTGAGAATTAATTGTATTAAAAACTCTGGCCCCAAACTATGAGAAAAACCCATCATGTCTAAGAGAAAATTTCCATTTTAGGTTAGGTATCAAGGCAATTTTGATAGATTCTTTGAAAACAGAGAGCTAATAGTTTATTTAGAGCATGCTTCTTTGTTTTTCAATGCTATTAAACATTTGAAAAATACTAATTTAGAACTTTTTGTTTCAGATTTTACATTTGCGGATAATGTAGACAAGTAAGTATTTTTTAAAACTCTATTATGATCAGATTGTTTCACGATTATTTTCCTAAATTCGTTCTAGTTCCTAAAATAAATTTTAATGAATTAAAAAATGACTAGCTCTTCAATAAATGTGAAAATGACTATGGCTTTTTGTGATGAGTTCTAGTTATGTATTCATGTTTGTCATACTTAGGTTTTTAATATAATTATTGTAACCCCAAATAAATGAAAAAGTGATTTGATGTATTAGAAAATATAACCTGAAAATTATAAGCTATTCCAAATGAGCGGCTTTGTTTACTCTTCATGTAAATAGGTTCAATGAGAGTAATTATCCTGTAAATTAACATTTTACATTCACTGTAATTTACATTTTAAAAAGCAAACACTTCATTAATTCTGTGGAAGGTATTTCAAATTTATAAATATTGATGAATTTAAAAATCATTCTTCTTATTTTTGCACTTATGAATCTTTGGATTCAGTAGTTGAAAAATATTATTGAGCACATTTTAAAAATACATCAGTGAAGAAAAATAATAACTGTAATAAAATGTATTTATGATACTAATATGCATATTATTTCTAAAAGTATTTTAATCATCTAACACTGTTTTCAAACACAAATACTTGACTGTGTGAGACTCAAAACTACAATTCTAGATCCCTAAACATACCCAAATACTCTATTTTCTATATAAAACATATGCAATAAAAATAGTGTCACATAGCCTGAAAATCATTATCAGAGTTGACAAATTATTAGTAATGCTATACTGCAAATACCACAGAAATATAGGGCACTTATTCATTTAAATAAAAAATAATTCACTTGGATCAAACTGATTTTTTTGTTTTTCTGATTGCCACCCCTGCAGAACTATGTTTGACAACCTAGAAGATGCTGTTTTTGTAAGGTCCATGAAGAGATCACTGATGGCTCTGACCACTTTGAACTGGGACTCTGTTCCAATGCAAGAGGAAAAATTCCTGGAAGAGAAAGGCCCAGAACCTCCTCAGCTGCTCACAGTAACACTGAGATAACCCCCAGCAAATGCTCAGTAACACTGAGATAACCCCTGGCACTACCAGGAATCCTAGTGGTACTCAGTTGTGTATTAAACCTCCCTGTAATTTAGCATATTATATGTTAAGTTGATATGACTTGAAACAGTTAATGTAAACAGAAACACTAAGAATGAAAAATAATTGTTATAGTTAGGTTTTTTAATGTAAAGATTTTGCTAAGATAAAACATGTACATAGAAGGGTACACAAATTATAAGGTTTCAATTCAATGAATTTTCAAAAAATTAAGACTGTGTGGCATCCTTGATTAAGAAATAGAACATTACCATGGGGCTGAGGATATAGCTTAGTTGGTAGAGTGCTTGTCTTACATGCACCAGGCCCTGGGTTCAATCCCCAGCATGACCACCAAAAAAAAAAAAAAAGAAAAAGAAATAGAACATTACCAGCACTCTAAAAGCCCCTCATTTCTGTTACCAGTCACTGCCCAACCTTCCAAAGTAATTACTTTCCTGATTTCTAGATAATAAGTTTTGTGAAAGGCATATAAATGGAATTATAACAGATGAACAGTCTGTGTCTAGTTTTTTTCCCTTGACCTTGTAAGATTCATCCTTGTTGCTTGCAGCAATAGTTCTATCATTCTCACTATTGTCTAGTAGTCCATCAAATAACTTTACACAATTTATTTACCTAGTGTACTGGTTTTTTTCTTGCCTCTGGAGACATTTGCCAGTTTCACACATGGGCTTTAATGATCTGGGCTGGGCCTAACTGGAAGCCTGCTGCTAGGGAAAAAAGAAACCAGACAAGCTTTTAGCAACTGCCTGCTGCTGAGTGACAAAATTAGATACTTGAGGGAACTCATTGGTGTTTTTTCCCAACTAATGAACTAAAAAAAAAAAAAAAAAAAAAACAACTTATAAAAGGCAGACTGGTATTTCTCCCTATCCTGTCCATACTGGGAAACACACACACTGTAGAAAGAAGACTGGCAAAACAGGCAAGAGATGAAAGCTTAGAGTAGTGAATTTGACACCAAGATTCTACTGCTGTGAACACCTAAGAATTGTGTCACAGAAAAGAGTCTAAAATTTGAGTATGATTCCTGGTAGTAGACTGTAGCTAGGGTAATGAAAAAGCAATGATTTCCATATTTATGAGGGTGCCTGATATGAAGGCAAAAGTGAGTGCATGTCCAAGATTAGGTGATAGAAGGAATTGACACATTTACTTGCTCCACCAGAATCACTTACTTTGGGGGAATCCAGCTGCCGTGCCATAATGACACCCAAGCAGTCCTTCAGATAAGTACATATTCTAAGGAACTGAGATTCTCTTCCAAAAGCCAATGAGGATCAAGTCTCTCAGCCAACAATCATGGACACAGATTCTCCATACCCACTGAAACCTTCAGATGACTGCAGCCTTAGCTGAAAGCTTTTCAGTACCCTCAAACCAAGAAAGCCCATACCAGAACTACCCACCCAGTTAAGCTGATTCAGGATTTCTGGTATTAGAAACTGTATGAGCTAATGCTTAGTAATGTTTCAAGCTGATAACTTTGGGGGAAATTTGTTACACAGCAACAGGTAACGGATGCAATAACCTGGGCTAATCCATGGTGTTCGCAGAGTCCCTGGCAGGCTCCAACAGGAAACTCACAACACAGTCTCCAAGGGTTCTTGAGCAAGGACACACCATCTGCCGCAAAGGACTATTCATTCTACTGAATCCATCTTAGTACTGAGAGCCTGATCATTAATCAAGTAACTAACTAAAGCTACTCACCATGAACTGAGAACAAGCCCAAGCATCTAGCAATAACACTGGATGGCAGCAATCCATTTCATGGTGAAAACGGTGTGTTGTGGATCAGGTTTAAGCTGGTCCATAAGTTACATAAGCACTATTCTTTAATTAGACAGTAGTAAATTAAGGAAGGGATATTATAATCTCTAGACTAACCACTAAAAGAAGACTGAGTCCAGGACTCACAATGTAAGCTCAGTGATAGAGCTTCTGTCATGTGTGAGACTCCGGGCTCAATCCCCAGTACTGCAAAAAAAAAAAAAAAACTAACATATGTTACTTGTTTTTCATGTTAGGGAATTAAAGGAATCATGCCTCAAAGAAAAAGATGTTCTGTAAAGTGCATACTTTTGTACAGGATATATTTTACTCAATACTGAAGGGCTTGTGGCAATTAGAAAACACGTATTAAATATCATTTTGGGAAAACACAAAAATGAAGTTTTTTATAAGTTAGCTAAAACTCTACCCAAACGAAACCACACCATTATTGGGAGGAACTTTTTTTTTACTACGAGATCACATTATTTACTTTTAACAACAGAGATCGACTCAAGTTGACTCAATTAAAAATATATTTCAGGATCCAAAGGGAGGTCGCGTGATTAGGAAACAGAAAATCCTGACATATACAGTTGTAGGGGTATACAGGTTGTGGCTGAAAGCTAGGTCTCTGGAACCAGACAAATCTTGCTTCTCTCCACCCCCACCCCATGTATTTTACTTAGAAAACTTAGTTAACTTCTCTAGGCTTTACTATCCTCTTATTTAAAATGATAAAAGTGACCTCACAGTCTCAAGGATTCACATGTAAAGTTTAAGGTACAATAGTCTTCTTAAAATAACTACTCCATGTATGTTAGCTATTACTGCTATTATTATCCCAAGGACAATTGTGCCCCTTAGGGACTATTCTGGAGGTTATAGGCTGAATGTTGGTGTATGCTCAATATTCATTTGTTAAAATCCAATTACTAATGTAATGGCATTTGGAATTGTGGCCTTTGAGAGGTAACTAGGCCTTGAGAGTCCTCATGAATGGGCTTAGTGCCCTATTAAAAGGCCAAAGCTAGTTCTCCCTCTTTCTTCATGTGAGGACATAGCAAGAGGGCCCTTCATATCCCAGGAAGGAGTCAGTCACCAAGAACCCAAACTTGCTGACAACCCTGAACCATGAGCGATAAATATTTGTTATTTAAGCCATGTGGTGTATGATAATTTGTAATAGCAGTCCAAATTCACCAAGACACTGGACGTATTAGGGTTCTCCAGAGAAAGAGAACCCAAAGACAACAGAAGGGGATGGGGGTGGGGGGTGGGAAGACACACACACACACACACTAAATTGTTCTTAGAATTGGGCTTAGGCCCTGTAGGGTCTGAGAGGTCCAGAGTTGTAAGACAGGCTGGCAGACTGGCAATTCAGGTTTGACTGGAAGATACAATCTTTAGTTTGAAATCTACAGGGCTGGCTAGCAGACTGGCAGGCTCTTGGAATTTTTTAGCCTGTAGCTGTTGGAGTTTCCATGTTGCAGGCTTCTTCAGCTCCAAGTGTGGGTTATATAAGGCAAAAAGAACACGTGGAGACTCACCAATTAGTGTAATTGTCCAAATCCCAGGGTCCTTAGCCAGTCTACTAGAGTCCAAACTGGCAGAGTGGGGAGAGGGAAAGGAGGAGAACGATAGCAACACAAACATGCAAAACCATTAAAATTTAACCAGAAACTCATGTTTGTGGGAGAGCAAGGTCTACGAAGACACTTTCACTACTGAAAAATAAATGCTTATCACTGTATAGATGAAATACTCTGATTTTTATTTTGTCAAGGGAGGCTTATTATAATTGACAGTTCAGATGAAATCACCCACTGAATTCCTACTCTAAATCCCTAAGTGTTGGATTTACTTGCATGAAGTCATCCTGGAGCAGTGTGGCACAGGGTGTGTGAGAAAATGCATGTGCTCAGGCTAGGAGAAACAGATTGAGTATAAAGAAGTGAGAGTCAACAAGATGGAAGAGTTTGATATGCAAGGAAGAGAGAATTATAGTCACTTGGACCCTTGACTGCACATATTAAAAATAACTTTTACTTTGTTCTCCAATATTGGCCATATTTCCTACTATTTGTCATGCTCTCTAGTATTTGCCACCTCCTGACAACAATAAATTATGAAACAAGATGTGCTGTTTACATTAGTAAACACGATTTATTTTAAACTCAACACAAGAAACTTTGAAACACAAAATCATCTTCAGACCTCATACCCAAGCTATGTTTAAATACCACATATGCTGAATATGGGGGCCAGCACATCTTCTAAATGACAGTTAAAAATCAGTTTCTGAGCAGGGAGTCCCATGAAAAGCTTGCAGGAAGATAAAAGTTAGCCTTTCAGGTAGTGTACGGCACATGAGTGAATTTTACAAGAATTGTATATACAGTGTATTTAGCCAATATTGAGTCAAGAATTTCAGGAAGTGTCTTTTAATGCACATGCTGGGACAGTCCTGGCTCTGCCGTGGTTCCCTCTGAAAGATCTGACATTTCTGAAGATAAAAATACTACAGAGAAAACATCGCTACAAGAACTGCATAAAGTTCAGACTTGCTCAGGATAATTTCTACATACAACTACACTTAGCTGAACTATGGCAAAGATCTCTTAACATACAGCTTTTCTTCAGGTCCTTACATTTCAATGTGTAGAACTTCATTATAGTAAATGCTATTTAGAGGTATTTTATTCACATATATGATTTTTTCCCCTAACTACACATCTCTGTGGCTATAAAATTTTTCTTTCCTGAAAATCTCTTCTCTCGCATATCTATTCTTCTTGTCCCTTTATTCCCTAGAGTCTATATTTCTTCTTTAAGGGGATTTATATTCCTTTGAGAACAATTGCTGGGGAGCCAGCCTCAGAAAGGGGACAGAAATGTTTTTCCTGTATTGAAAGGGGAAAAAAAAAGAAAAAAAAAWATATATATATATATCTACCTGTTAAATTATGGAACAGAGATCAATGGGGAATTGGGGCATGGTAGACAGAGCTTTGCTTGAAAGCCTCTGTTCTATGAAATGTGCAATCCTGCCGTGGTGCCTTGCGGGTGTCATGAAGCAATGAGGGTACATTCACACGAGTTTTCCAGCTATCTGCTAAGGTTAGGCCTCTCCCTGATGGCACCTGCTATGGCTTTTACTCCTCAGACACCTGAGGACCTGAAGAGGAGTCCTGTATACCTTCCAACCCAGCCTCACTTCCAAGAGATTCTTTCTTCCCTTCCACCGAATCATTAGAATTGGAGTCCTCTTGGGGGATGCCCATTTCAGCCTCTGGTTGCTCTTCATTAACACAATTAGAATTGACATCGAGTTTGCCATCTGATAAAA